CTTCCTTTCATTCTTTCTTTTTTTGGGACTATCTCTATCTTTTTTCTTTTCTCTCCCAACCTTATGTATATTTTTTAAACACACTGTAAACCAATTAGAATTTTTTTTTGTCTGAATCTGTCTTTGCTGTATATCACTATATTTTTCTGACCACATGAGTCTTTAACCAGCTAAGTAATATGGTTAGAATGAAAGCTGTGACACTGGTGCCTGGCTCTGCCCCATTCTTTAACTTTTTGAGAGTCTGGTGGAGGTATTGGCAGAGCCACTTTTGTTGTCCTAGAACTACGGAGTTTCTAGGTCCATGCCACCACCAAGAAACCCAGACAGGAGAGGAAGCTAAGCCTGCAGATGAGAGCTGAGAGGGGGGGGGGCTAGTTTTTCTCCGAACCCAAGGCGCTAGGTTTGGGTACAGCTCTGGACTGTGCCGTGGCTGAAAAGTCTCACAAAAATGGCTTTTTCATGAATTTGTACCCCAAATGTTGGATGCCAAATGTGTGTTTCTTTGGGACTGGATCAGGAGGGACAGAAACTTATGTCTACAGTTTTTCTTATTACCTAATTCAAAAAAAGAAACTCACAAAAGAGTTGTAAAGTATATAAGGTTCAAAGACATAAAAGCTTAAATTGTTTTGAGGTCTAAAAAGGTAGTTTTGAGTTGTTAATACAAGTCAGGAGAGAATGTGAATTAGGTACAAAATTTTGGACTCATCAAGATATAATAGATAATAAAGTGTTTTCTTTGAATTTGCTAAATGCAAATGTATTGAACATTATAAACATAATTCTTTCCTGGTAATTGTTCATATTGTATATAGTTATACTGAATTAAAACCTTCCTTTTTTATTTAGACAAAAGGGTAAAATGTTGTAGAATATTTTGATAGCACTCTAACACTCCAGAGACTGTCAGTAAAGCTTACCTTGAATCAGAGAGTACAGCTAGCTACTAGGTGACCAAAATTAGCCATAGAGGTTTTGGAGGACACATATAGGAAGTAGTAGGGAGAGGCTTTTTTGAATCAAGACCCGGGAACTTTACCAGTAAACCATGAGCTTTGTGGTAAAATATAAAATAATGGAAATAGGTTAATTTAAGATATAAGAGCTAGCTACCAATACACTTAAGTGATTGGACAAGCAGTGATTTAATTAATATAGTTTCTGAATAATTATTTTCAGTCTGGGTGGCCAGGAATAAACAAACAGTCTCTGCCAACATAGGGGCAATTAGATTAGGTTGGAATTCTCCCCCTTTCACCTTAGACAGTCTTGCATAGCCTTGGTTGGCCTTCTGTGTACACCAGGTTGATCTTGAACTCACTGAGATCCACCTGCCTCCACCCCCAAGTGCTGGGGACTTAAAGGCGCGTGCCACCATGCCTGGCTCAACCCTGAATTCGTCATCACTCACCTCATCCCTCTCTCACTTTCCCACAGGTTGAATGGCTGGGTAAAAGCCAGGTGTACTGGTGCAGGTCTTTAGTTCCAGCACTTTCCCACAGGTTGAATGGCTGGGTAAAAGCCAGGTGTACTGGTGCAGGTCTTTAGCTCCAGCACTTTGGAAGGCAGAGGGTGGTGGATCTCTATGAGTCTGAAGATAACCTGGTCTACATAGTGAGTTCCAGGCCAACCAAGGATATATAGTGTCCTATCTCAAAACAACAACAAAATCAGAGTATTGATGAAGAGATGGCTCAGCGGCTAAGAGCAATTGCTACCTGTGGTGATTTGAATGAGAATTGCTCCCATAGGTGATTGAATACTTACTTGTACCTAGTTGGCAGAACTGTTTGGGAAGGGTTAGAAGAAGGATTAGGAGGTGTAGCCTTGTTATACATAATAAAAGAATCATACATATAAAGCAAAGAGAGTGATTGGCTAGCAAGCCTTGGAACACACACCCCATAAAGGGGAGAGACCTTATTTAGGAAAGTAAGCATTGCCATGCAAGACTGGGCCAAGTATTTACTGGAGGTGTTAATTAAAAACACCTTTTTTTTATTTTGGAATAACTATAGATCCACAGAAAGTTACAAAGATTGTACAGAAAATATTTTCTGAACCAAGTTTCCTCCAGAGGTCACACTATATATTATGCTGTAATGTCAAAATCAGGGAGTTGATACTGGTATACTATTGTATAGAACATTTTATTTCCTTTATTTTGGTAAACAATGCTACAAGGTATAGATTTTACCAGTTTAAGCAACCATTCTTCTGGTGTGGAACATTTTGTCTGTTTCAAGTTTCCAGCAAGTACAAAAAACAAAAACAAAACCCAAAGTGCAGTCTCTGGAGATCTTGGGTAAGCCTATGCTTTCACTTTCTGAGATGACAACCCTAGGCACAAATATGTGTTACAATGTGTAACAAATATATAGTGAACACATTACATATGTGTTACAATGTGAGTATATATTCAGGATTTTTGTTTGTTTGTTTGTTTGTTTTTCAAGACAGGGTTTCTCTGTAGCTTTGGAGCCTGTCCTGGAACTAGCTCTTGTAGACCAGGCTGGCCTCGAATTCACAAAGATCAGCCTGCCTCTGCCTCCCAAGTGCTGGGATTAAAGCTGGGATTAAAGGCATGTGCCACCCCCGCCCGGCTATTCAGGATTTTTTTAAGGTTTATTTATTTATTTTAGTATATAGGTGTTTTGACTTTCTGTTTGTCTGTACACATGTGCATGAAATACCTGAAGAGTCCGGAAGTGGACACCAGATCCTCTGGAACTGCAGTTAGAAATGGTTGTTAGTACTACGTGGGTGCTGGGAACAGAACTTAAGTCCTCTGCAAAAGCAGTAAGTGCTGTTAACCACTGAGCCATTTCTCTGTGTATCATGTAAGTACAGGAGCTGGAGGCCAGAAGAGGTCACTGGATACTGTAGAACTAAAGTTACAAGTGATTGCCAACTGCCATGTAGTTCTGGGAACGGGATCCCAGTCCTGAAAGAGCAGCAAGTGCTTTTTATTGCTGAGACATCTCTCCAGCTCCACCCACAAAACACATGTTTATGACAAATAATTAAATATGAGAAAAGTATTTATTTTAATAATTCCTTTCAGAGGAAGAAACATTTAACAGCTTGGTGATAGCATTATCATTTTGAACAGGCAGAGCTCAGCTGAAAGTATCTTACTTATCTGTTGTGGGTTATTGGTACACTGTGTAAAGATGCATTTGCTGTAATTGGTGTAATAAAAAACTAGATGACTAGGAGGCTGTTTGTTCATCCCAGCTGCCAGGCCAGCTTAGCCCCAAAATAACCACACAGAAACTGTATTATTTAAATCACTGCTTGGCCCATTAACTCTAGCTTCTTATTGGCTAACTCTTACATCTTAATTTAACCCATGTCCATTAATCTGTGTATCACCATATGGCAGTGACTTAACCAGCAAAGATTCGGCATGTCTTACTCTGGCGGTGGATCCACAGCATCTCCCTGACTCTGCCTTCTTCCTCCCAGAATCCAGTTCTGTGTTCCCTGCCTACCTAAGTTCTGCCCTATCAACAGGCCAAGGCAGTTTGTTTATTGACCAATGAAAGCAACACATAGACAGAAAGACCTCCTACACCCTAGAGATGACCAATAGCTAGGAAGAGGTATGGGTGGGATTTGCAGGGAGATAAAGGAAGACGCATGAGAGATACCAGTAGACACAGAAGAAGCAGGATGGGCTGTAATGGAATAATCATGTACACTGAAAATGTGTTGCTATCATTGTTAATAAAAAGCTGGTTGGCAGGATTTTCAGGGCAGGAAAGAAGAGCAGAGTCTCCAGAGTTTCAAGCAGATGTAGAGGGAAGCAAGATGAACATGCCATGTTGGAAGAAGGTACCACCACATGGCAGAGAGCAGATAAGAAATATGGGAGGTGGAAGGAGGAGGGTCAGGAGTTTAAGGTCATCCTCCACTACCTGGGCTACATATTTTAAAGGCCTGAAATAAATAAAAAGATAAGGAATCTTATTTAGTAATTCAGATGTTCATATTTAGTGTTTACAAGAGAATCTAACAATTAACCAGGAAACAAAGAACATGGAAATTACTACTCTTTTTTTTGGGAGGGGGGGTGGCAGAGTCCACTGTGTAGCTCTAGATTGCTTGGAGCTTGCTATGTGGGGGCCAGGCTAAACTTAAACGAACAGAAATCCTCCTGCCTCTGCCTCCCCAGAGCTAGGACTAAAGATGAGTAGCACCATATCAGGCTTTGTTCTTGTCTTTTAAGTCCAAATTTTTATATTATGACTTTTAATAATAAAATCACTAAGTAATTTTCCCAAGGCCAAGCTTTTCTTCTTTGCCTTCATCTTTGTCTTCACCTTCTTTTCATCTTGTAGAAGTTAATTCTGTTAGGGCAATGTTCTGGTTCCAAAAATGGTGATTTTAGCTCTCAATTATGCGCCATCTGACCACAGTTCATGCTCAAATTACATATAAGGTACTTACCTTGTATGTACACTAAATAACAGAGTATGCTCAAGTAGAAGTGGTCCAAGAAGATGATCCTCATTACTTTGGGGAATTACAGACTCTTCTACTGTTTAGAGAATTGACTGGATTCATTTACTGAAATACAGGCTTGAGAAGACGTTGATTCATAGATGTTTGAAAGGAGAGGTATGTTGGAAAGTTATGGTTGTGTGATTATCTTTCTACAACACACTCTGTTAAGTACACAATTTTGTCTTCACTTGTCCCTTAGTCCAGATCCAGCAGATATAATCACAAACTTTATTTTTGTTGGTCTCAAAAGGGGCTGGTGAGGTGGTTCAGCGGAGGATCTGAGTTTGGTTCCCAGCCCCCACATGGTTTCTCACAACGTCTGTGGTTCCAGTTCCAAGTAATCCTTCATCCTTTTCTGGCCTCCATGGACACCACACTGGATACCCAAGTATAGGCAAACACTCACACACAAAATATATATATATATATATATATATATATATATATATACAGTTCCACTTCTCAGCCAAGCACAAGAGAAGCAGTAATCCAAATCCACCCATCTTTGTTGCCAAATGCAAGCCACATGAAGTGTGATCTTCTTCACCCATTTGTAATTTCTACGAAAGATATAATTCCATTATTCTCACCTAAGTCACTCATTTCTACAGTGGTAGTAGAATGGGTTACCGTCCAGCCTAGACGCTGCCCCGCTAGGCCTTAACCTACCTGGCATCTGTGGTGCCTTCTGGGTGGATGAGAAAACCAAGTAAGTAAGAAGGGTCTGTGTTCACCAAAACTCTCTTCCCAGAAGCTGACCTCTGGAATGGTGCGCCGGACACGGGGGCCGCCAGGAGGCGCGCTGGCCCGGGAGGACCGACAGGGGCAGGCGCGTCTAGGCCGGAGGAACGCCCGCCGCACTCGCTGTCCACGAAGCGCCAGCTGAGGGGCGGGTGCAGCGGGTGCGGCGGAGGCTGCCAGCTACTCAGCTCCTCCGCGTCGCTGCGCTCCCGGAAGCCGGATTGCCGCGCGAGTCCTGTCAGTGCGAGCAACGCGAGACCGCTTCTCGCCGCTTGCGGAGAGCACCGAGCAACCCGGCCTGTGTGCGGCGGCGACTCCCGGGACCGGACCGGGCAGCGGAGGACATGGCAGAGACGACCGCTGCTCCGGTAAGGGCCATGATGCGCGGGCGTCTCTGTCACCGGGGCTTTAGGGGAAGCGCGGAGGCTGGGGACCACCGCGGGCCTTGTCGCCCGCGTGGGTCTGCGGCTGTCGCCCGCCCTGAAGGGCCACCGCGGACTGCCGCGCCGGGGCACCCGGGTCTGAGGTTTCGAGCTCGAACGCGCGGTGCTGCTTCGCGTTAGCCCGCAGGACGGGGAAGTGGGCTCGAGGGGTTTCTGAAATCCGCCAGTCATCGTGTACAGCCGTGAGAGCTGTCGTTGCTAGGCGCGGCAGGACAGTCACCTGCGAGACGGCGAAGGTAAAAGCCAAGGTGTGCCCTTAACAGACTGCGCGTCGACGGCCACTGTCGCGCGCCCGCCCGCCGGCCCGGACAAGGCCCTGCAGGGACCTTGGAAGGGCCGACGAGGGCGCCGGGCTTAGCCAGTCGTGCGCGTGTGCGTGTTTGCTGCAGGCCTGCAGCGGATAGAAGCCAGAGCCACCAGGGCAACCGGGACAGCCCTTGCACACAGCCATTAAGGAAGGGGGAATGGTTGTTTCTCAGGGACCATTGTCCTAAAGATGATAGCAGGGACCATTGTCCTAAGGATGTTTGCAGAGAGCCCCACACCCCAACTATCTTGAGAACTATTTGTTAACGGAACCTGCCCCACATTCCAACTATCTTGAGAACTGTTGATGGAATCACAAAAAGAATGTTTCCGCTTACACCAGGTGTGCTGACTGGTGACCTTTGCTACCCCGGCAAGGTTCCTTCCTACCCCTACCCCCCACCCCAAGCCAGATTCCTCATTCAAGGGCTACATAAGCCTCCACCCTTACCCTAGTAAAGGGAGACCTTGACAACAGAACTTTGCTTGGTCTCCTTTTTCTCCCCCGCCCATGATTCTTTCAGGTAGAGCCTCTTCAGACCCTGAATAACTGGACCTGCTGGACGGGTCAGTTGTTTAACAGAGCGTTCTGACTGGAAAGTATTGCTTGTTTTTGCCACCCAAGAAGCCGTTGGTCAGCTCAAAGAGACGTTTTAATAGGTCAGATGGCAGGCAGGTCCGCTAGGAAGAGAAGGAAGAAGAAAACGGGAGTATTGGGTTTGGAGGGGAATAGAACAGGGGAGAATACCATCCCTACTCCTGGAGCTTAATTTTTTTTCCAAACCAAAAAAATTTTTTTAAAGATAGTAGAGACCATCATGCTGAAAGCTGTGCACATACTTTTAATTCTCTAGTCGTCTTGTATAGGAGGTAAAACCATGGCTCACACTTGGGAGTCAGAGAGGAGGATCAGAAATTTTAGGATATCCTTGGCCAAATAACCAAATTATGTGTCTTAGAAAAGAAAGAAAGAAAGAAAGAAAGGAAGAAAGAAAAAAAGAAGAAAGAAAATAGTAAAAACAGGAAATTAATTTCAGTGATATGTGTTATTTACCCTAATGCATGCAAAATTTCAACAGTATTGAATATTACAAAATTGTTAATGAGATTTTACAGCTTTTCATCCTAAGTCTTCACACCATTGTTGATTTTTATACGCAGTGTATGTCAGTTGAACTGACCACATTTCAGGTCCTCACTGATCACATGGAGTCAGTGGCTATGGTACTGACCAGGGCAAATCTGTTTTATGACAAAGAATTGGGAAATACTGATATTTTTAATTTTGAGAAACATTTTTTAGGGGCTGGAGAGATGGTTCAGCAGTTAAGAACATTTGTTGTGCTCTCAGAGGACCCTGGTTTAGGTCCAGCATTCACATGGTGGCTAACAACAATCTGTAACTCCAGTTCTAGAGTATCTGATGCCCTCTCCTGACCCCTGAGTGCATCAGGTATGCACATGGTACCACATATATACACAGTGACACATATTGATATATATAAAACAAATAAACCTAAGCAATTTATTTATTATGTATACAATATTCTGTCTGTGTGTATGTCTGCAGGCCAGAAGAGGGCACCAGACCTCATTACAGATGGTTGTGAGCCACCATGTGGTTGCCGGGAATTGAACTCAGGACTTTTGGAAGAGTAAGCAATGCTCTTAACCGCTAAGCCATCTCTCCAGCCCCAAACCTAAGCGATTTAAAGACATTTCTAATCTTTGAGAATTTAATAGAATGTAGTTTGATCATGTTCACCCCACTCATTCTCCTAGCTTCTCCCAGGTTCACCCCCCTTCCTTTATCAGTGTCCCCCAATTTTGTACCTATGTGTCTATATGACCCATGGAGTCCAATTTGTGCTTTTCATATACTCCTTGGTGTATATTCCATCTACCAGAATGTGGTTGACCTGCCAGGAGCTACACCCAAAAAAAATGGGCTTTTCCTCCCTGAGAGGCTGTCAGTTATCCATAGCTCCTCAGTTATGAGGTGAGAGCTCATGAACCTCCTCATCCCCTTCTATGCTGTAATGTTGGCTAGCTTGATTGTTTTTTCCCCCAAGACAAGGTTTCTCTGTAACATTGGAGCCTGTCCTGGAACTAGTTCTTGTATACCAGGCAGGCTGGTCTCGAACTCACGAGATCCGCCTGCCTCTGCCTCCTGAGTGCTGGGATTAAAAGTGTGCACCCTGCTGGCTAGCTTGATCTTATGCAGGCAGCCACAGTAGATTGGAGTCCGTGAGTGCCGCGGTCTTGTCACGTCTAGAAGACACTGTTTCAACCTCCAGTCCAACCTTAGGTCTTAGGACCTTGTTGCCCTTTTTCCGCCATGGTCACTGAGCCTTGGGGTTTGGGCAGTAGTATGGATGCCCCATTTGGTTGAGCACTTCACTGACAATTTTTTGTTTTAGTTTTGTTTTTGGTTTGGGTTTTTTGAGATAGGGATTCTCTGCTGCTTTGGAGCTTGTTCTGGAACTCGCTCTGTAGACCAGGCTGCCCTCGAACTCACAGAGATCCACCTGTCTCTGCCTCTCGAGTGCTGGGATTAAAGGTGTCCACCACGAATGCCCAGCCTGACAAATTTTTTACTACTATGAGTACTATTGAGTCTTTTTGAGACAGAATCTTGCTATGTAGCCCCAACTGGCCAACATATAGATCAGGCTGGCCCCAAACTCACAGAAGTATTTCTGCCCCTGCAAGTGCTAGAACCAAAGGCATTTGCCACCACACCAGCTGTGTTTTTTTTTTTTTAAATGTACCTTCTAAGGTAGAAGGGGTTGGTATTAAGAGTACAAGTGGAGAGATTGGCTTTAAACAAGATCAAACTCCTTTGAGAAAGAAAGGACCCATGTATTATTACTGATAGGTTTGGTGTGGGAAGAAGTATAAAGAAAAAGAGTTTAGGCTTAATTTCTTTAGTTTCCTTTTTTTTTTTTTTGTTTTGTTTTTGTTTTCTGAGACAAGGTTTCTCTGGATATCCCTGGCTGTCCTGGAACTCACAGAGATCCACTTGTCTCCCCTCTTCCCCCTACTTCCCAGTGCTGGGATCAAAGGCATGTGCTACCGTAGTCTGACTTACTTCAGTTTTCTTAAAGTAAGACACCATGTCATCTCTGGAGTGTAAGGTGCTATGTGAATAAGTCTCTGCCCTCCCTGTGTGCTCCCTAAATCAGAAGGTAGAACATCCATCACCTAAGAAGTGCTTAAAGCACACCATCTCCATTTTCTTATCACACTTGCTGAATGAAAATATGGATTTTAACTGGATTGTCAATGACTTTGTGGGGCCGGGATCAGGATTTGGGATTAAGGTCTTGCTATTGTAGCCCTTGCTGGCTTGATACTCACTATGTAGCCCTGACTAGACTCAAACTCAGAGCAATTCTCCTAACTCAGTTTCCTTAATGCAGAGGACAACATGGGGGAGTTGTGATATGGGAGTCCCCTCTATATGATGTGAGTACCATTGATGAATAAAGAAACTGCCTTGGCCTGTTGATAGGGGAAAACTAAACTGAATGCTGGGAGGAAAAGGAAGAGTTAGGGAGAAGCCGTGGAGCCACTGCCAGAGACAGACACAATGAAACTTTGCTGGTGATGCACAGATTAATGGAGATGGGTTAAATTAAGATGTAAGAGTTAGCAAATAAGAAGCTAGAGCTAATGGGCCAAGCAGTGTTTTAAATAATATGGTTTTTGTGTGATTATTTTGGATCTGAGCTACTAAGCTGCTGGGAACCAACAAGTGACCTCCTTCAACAGAGTTGATTCTCTTCTTCCACCATTTGGGTCCCAGGAATTGAGCTCAGATAATCAGGCTTGACTGCAAGTGTTCTTATCTGCTAAGCCGCCTCACTGGCCGATTGCTCAGCCTTTTCTAGTTGATTCTTTTGCACATTAGTTTGAGAGTTTGCAGAAGCCTGGAGGGCACTGGATAGTGTTAGTAGTGTCAATGAGCATTGACCGTTGGTGTATGACAGCATCGCACATGGTTGTATGATTTACTTTTGTAGATCTCACCCGACTGCTTGTAGAAACAAGCAAAAAAAAAAAAAAAAGTGAATGATTCAACTCATTCAAAGTAGGAGGTCAGCTGAGCAAGTGACAGTAGTGAAATGGGAATGGGGTTGAAAGGTGGCAGAAATGGTCAAGTAGGGGAGAAAGCAAAGCCATGTACAGGTGGTAGGCCAGGGCAAATGAATCATCATAGGCTAGAGTTATTACTGATAGATTAAAGATCAATGAAATGAGACTAAGTGCATGAAGTGGAAATAGAGGGCTGTGGCCAGAGCGGTTTGTCAGGTTCAGAGAATTAGGCCTTGAGGAGGCTTAGTCCAGCCTCCTATATTTGTTGTCCAGATTTCTTCCATTTATGATACTCTGTTTCAAAGTACATTCAGTAATGAATAGTCTGTGACTTCCTTGGAAAAAAATCTAATTCTGACATTGTTACCCGCCTGAAAATTCCCATCTATTTTTCCACATCTAGTTTGTCCTTTGGAGTTTTATAGTATAAGATTAAATAAACCGTTCTACTTTCAATTTCATAACCCTTGAATATTTTAAAATAGTTGTCGTATTTTCTCTAGACTGTGCATCCTCAGTCTGTCAGCTATTACTAATTGGTATAGTTGTAGTGTATAACCTCAGTGAAAGACAGAGCTAGAATACAAATTCTTAAGAGATTTGTCGTAGAGCACTGTGGTAAGTAAAACTTGGTGAGAATTCTTTGCCTTTTCCAGAGATAGAGGGGACAGCAGCAGCCTGAACTTCTGGACCCTTTATTAGAGAGATGGGCCAGATTGGTCCTAAGAAGCGAGTGTAAATATCTTTATCACTATCTTTCCCAGTCCATCCTTGAACCCACCAAAAGAGTTCCCTTGGCTTTTGATGCCTACAGGTTTCAGAGCAGCAAGGTTAACAGAGAGACTTAACTTTTTTTGTTTGTTTTTGTTTTTGTTTTTGAGTCAGGGTTTCTCTGTGTAGCTTTGGAACCTGTCCTGGTGTTTGCTTTGTATCCCAGGCTGGCCTCGAACTCACAGAGATCCTCTTGCTTCTGCCTGTGGAGTGCTGAGCTTAAAGGTGTGCATCACCACCACCCGGCCTAAAACTATTTTGATTAATATCAGCTGGACAGTTAAGTAGCTCTTATCTGGTTGTAGTTTAGAGTCAGGAGTCCTTCTAACTCAACGTCTTGCCCCCCATCTCTCCATTGCACGTAGACTTCTGAGTGGGACTCGGAATGCCTCACATCTCTGCAGCCTCTTCCTCTTCCTACACCTCCAGCAACAAATGAGGCACACCTGCAGACCGCAGCCATCTCCCTGTGGACAGTGGTGGCTGCTGTGCAGGCCATAGAGAGGAAGGTGGAGGTCCACAGCCGGCGACTCCTCCACCTAGAAGGCAGGACAGGGGCAGCAGAGAAGAAACTAGCCAGCTGTGAAAAGACAGTGACCGAGCTTGGGGACCAGCTGGAGGGCAAGTGGGCCGTGCTGGGGACCCTGCTGCAGGAGTACGGGCTGCTGCAGCGGCGGCTGGAGAACCTGGAGAACTTGTTGAGGAACAGGAACTTCTGGATCCTGCGGCTGCCCCCAGGTATTAAAGGAGATATTCCAAAGGTAATACCCCCTTCTAGGTTACAGCAGTACCACTAGCTCAGACACTAGCAGTTTAAGGGTAGTCTTGGTCAGTCAGGTACTTAGATAATTTTATTTCCTCTTAAAATTTCTTAGGTTGATGGAACTCTGAAGGTACTTTACGTTTGTCTACTTAAGAACCCTACTATGTTCATATCTTCCTTGCCTTTCTTTGTTTTTGTGAGACAGTCATGTAGCCAAGACTGGCCTTGAACTGCTGATTTTCTGCCTATATCTCCCAAGTGTTAGGATTACAGTCATGGGACAACCGTGGCTCAGTACATTTAGAGTGTCAGCCTTCCAGAGAGAAAATCCATAGTTGACTCTTTTTCCTCTTTTAATATCTTTCACTTTTCATGTATATGAGTCACTTCTCTCTTTATAAAACCATTTGCCACAATCTTAGTGAGAAAATTGAGTTCAATTTCATTGAAATCCGTTAATTTGAATTTGGTTGACAATTTTGGTGAAAAGTTAGAGGGAAGACAATGTAAGGGATTATAATCATGTGGTTCTGATAAGGGCGAGGGTCATCTGTGAGTCGAGGCTGTCATTCATGGAGCAAGCATGCTAAGATGCTAGCACTGTCTTTTGAAAGAACTAGTTATAAAACAGGAAGGAAGTTTTGATGATCACTATTTGGCAGCGAGACGCCTAGTTTCCAAACATACTCTTTCATTTATACAATTGTTCATAGACACAGGCCTTTTTAATTATTTAAAAATGTTTTTTTGGGGGCTGGAGAGATGGCTCAGAGGTTAAGAGCACTGACTGCTCTTCCAGAGGTCATGAGTTCAATTCCCAGCAACCACATGGTGGCTCACAACCATCTGTAATGAGATCTGGTGCCCTCTTCTGGTGTGTGTGAAGCAGAATGTTGTATACATAATAAATAAATAAATAAATAAAATTTAAAAAAAAAAATGTTTTTTGGGGGTAGGCATGCCTTCATTCCTAGCACTCTGGAAGCAGAGATAGGAGGATCTCTGATTTTGAGGCCAGCCTGCTGTATATAACAGTTCCAGGGCAGGCTGGACTTGAACTCATAGATGTCTGCCTGAACCTGCCTCTGATTCCCAAGTTCCCCAGTGCTGGCAATAAACCTCCAGAATGGAGGTTTGAAATGAGCTGGGGTACAAAATAAGACTTTATTCTTTTTATGTTTGTTTGTTTTTGAAACAGGGCTTCTCTGTGTAGCCTTGGCTGTCCAGAAACTTACTCTGTAGATCAGGCTGGCCTTGAGCTCACAGAGATTTGCCTGCCTCTGCCTCCTGAGTGCTGGGACTAAAGGTGTGCACCACCATAACTTCTCACCACCCCTGGCTCCTGCAAGACTTTATTATTAGCAAAAATAACAACAACAATAACAAAAAAGTCAACTGGCTTGGTATACTTTAACATTTTTGGAGTTCAAAGTGGAATAATTTTAAAAACTCCATAGACATTATAATATATGACTGATACTATGACCTTTAAGACCAAGGAAAGGAATTTGAATTAGAAACCTAAGTCCAATGAGAAAAAACTGCAGAACTTGAGTACAGGAATTATTTCTGGCTTATGCTTAGAAAAGTTATGCTGGCTGCTTTGTGGAGATTTGTTGAGGCAAGAACAGAAACAGTGGAATTGTGAGGGAGCATTAATAACAAGAAAGTGGGAGTGGTTTGATGAAGCCATGGCCATGAGATGAAGAGAAGTAGATAGACACGGGAACTGCAATAGGATTTATTTGCTGGGAATGAGGAATAACTGCCATTGTAAATTAACTGTGGGATGATTTACTTAGAACTTAGTGTTCTGTTTTACTTATTTCAAGGCTTATAATTTTCTTAAGAGTCCTAACTTGCCCAAGATCTTATGGCTACCAACAATAAACAGCAGCATTGTATTTTTAACCTAGCTGGATCTGAAGCATATACTCTGTGGATTTACTGACTCGTAGGCTCTTAGTTTAAGAACTGAGAGATGCCTGGGTGGTGGTGATGCACACCTTTAGTCCCAGCAGAGGTAGGCAGGTCTCTGGGTTCAAGGTCAGCTTGGTCTACAGAGTGAGTTCCAGGACAGCCAGGGATACACAGAGAAACTCAAAAAACCGAAATGGGGGGGGGGGGGAGATGAACAAGAGATGGATCACTTGTTGCTCTTACAGAGGATCTGGGTTCAGGTTCCAGTCATCTATAACTCTAGTTCTAGGTGATCCGGTGCTCTCTTCTGGCCTTTGTAGGCACCAGGCATGCACACAATACACTTAACATACATGCAGGCAAAATACTCATACAGGCACATAAAATAAAAGTAATCTTTATGAAAAGAAAATGAACTTAGATGATAACATAGATGGTAACATTTCCTTTAAGATACTGATGTGGAGAGCTCACTAGAGATGATCGCTCAGACCCTCAGACACAGTGTATAGCCAACTGAAAAGTCTTTATTCTGGCAGACTGAGACCACACTCAAGAGTTCAGGGCCCTTCCCATCCTCACTTCCACTTCCATCCAGAACATAGGGGTTTTAAAGGCTGAAACCTTCTGGCTCCTGGCTCAGTAGGTACAGGGGGCTTTGTAGAAGTAAGCAGTATGTAGCTAGCAGTCTTAACAGAAGTAAGGTAAGTTGTTAGCTGGAGGGGTTCTCCACAAAGAGGCAACTAAGATGAACAGTTAGCTGGAGGGGGTTCCTTACAAACAAGCAGTTTTAACAAAGGCTAAGATAACTTAGCTAGGACACTCTGTCCTTTGGTTCCTAGAATAGAGTTGGGTTGTTTTCCATGGGCTTTTCCATCAAGGAGATCAGATTCTAGTTAAAGCTGAAATGGCTTCAGCAAGAATATAAGATGGAGGAACCTCTGTCCTGGCTTGCCTCATTACAGTGCCTCACTGGGCAATGTTAGGTTCAAGAAACTCAAGGAAGGGTGAAGAGACCTTGACACGGAGATAGTATTGTCAGTTATACGTTGGGAGAGGCATCTCTAGAGAGAGTGGATAACAAGAGATAAGCTTCAGAGGTAGAAGGGGTCAGCAGAAAAGACCAGTAAGTTAGCAGGAAAGCAGTCATCGAGTGGTGGGAACTACAGGGCTAAGGAGAATTGTGATTTGTGAGTTACAATACTGGGAGGTCTAGAAAGGTAAGGATAGTGAACATGATTGGCAGTGTGGCTGTCAGAGGAAATCAAGACATAATTTGCTTGACTGGCAAGATAGAGATAGAGGACTATTAGAATAGCACAGTTGTAGAGTAAACAGGAAGCGAAGAAAAGAATGGTAGGAATAGAGCTCCCTCCCTCCCTCCCTCCCTCCCTCCCTCCCTCCCTCCCTCCCTCCCTCCCTCCCTCCCTCCCTCCCTCCCTTCTTTCTTTCTTTCTTTCTTTCTTTCTTTCTTTCTTTCTATGTAAGTATAGAGCTATTAAAAGTAAGGATCTGGAGAGCACTGACTGCGCTTCCAGAGGGCACAGTTTTTATCCCCAGCATCTACATGGAAGCTCACAACCAGTTCCAGGGAATCTGCTGTTGGCCTCCACAGCCACAAGGCACAGACATACAAGCAGGTAAAACACCTACACACGTTTTTTAAAAGTGAGAGCAAAAACATAGACTACACTCCCAAGACTCCTCAGAAACTGATATTGCTTTTTCCCTTGTCTTTCCAGAGAGAATTTATTAATACTGCAACAGATATGTATATTATATACCTACATGCATTATGTAGATATATAACTTTTACATAATTGTATATAATACAGATTATTCATGTTTTTGCTTTGAGTACAGTATTTTATTATTATAAAATAATAACATCTTGGTTTATGAAATGGGGACATAACCATTACTAACTTTAGTAAACCATACAGAGTTATCCAAGGTGTCATAGCAAAGGAAATTTCAAGTTACTTTCCATGAGTGTTAGCTGGAATCTTTTTTTTAAACTTTATTTTATGTGCATTGGGTTTTTGCCTGCATGTATGAGTGAGGATGCCAGATCCCCTGGAATTGGAGTTACAGACAATTGTGAGCTGCCATGTGGGTGCTGGAAATTGAACCCAGGTCCTCTGGAAGAACAGTCAGTACTCTTAACCGCTGATCCATCTCTTTAGCCCTAGCTGAAGTCTTATTAATATTGAGTACTCTGATGTATATTTTTACTTAGTACAATAATCCTTTGAGGGGATTTACTTACTATTTTATAAAGAAATAAAAGCTTAAAGTTTAATCAGAGTCAGACATGGTAGCATGCTGTTTGGTTTTTTCTCTTTACTCTTTTGTCTCTGTGGGGCCCACCACCCAGCTCCCAAATAAATCACACAGAGGCTTATTATTACTCATAAATTCCCAGCCTTAGCTTGGCTTTTTCTAGCCAGCTTTTCTTAGATTATCCCATCTATCTTTTGCCTCTGGGCTTTTATCTTTCTCTATTTCTCTATGCCTTACTTTACTTCTTACTCCATGGCTTGCTGTGTAGCTGGGTGGCTGGCCCCTGGAGTACTCTTCCTTATCCTTCTTTTGCTCCTTGATCTTTCTTCCTTTTTATTCTCTCTGCCTGCCAACCCCACCTATCCTTTCTCCTGCCTTGCTAAATAGGCCATTCAGCTCTTTATTAGACCAATCAGGTGTGTTAGACAGGCAGAGTAACACAGCTTCACAGAGTTAAACAAATGCAACATAAAAGAATGTAACACACCTTTGCATCCTTAAACAAATATTCCACAGCATAAACAAATGTAACACATGTTAAAATAATATTCTACAACAGTAGCACCTACCTGCAATTCCAAAATACAGGCAGCTCAGGCAGAAGGATTTATTTGTGTTCAAAGCCAACCTGATCTGCTAATAAGTAAACAGGCCAGTCAGAGCTGCAGAAACACCTAGTCTCAATAAACAAAAGCAAACTACACACACACACACACACACACACACACACACACACACACACACAAAGCAACAACAGAAAACTAGATTAAAATGTAGCATAGTTTACAGAGTGAT